CGTGAGCATTTCATACTCCTGATTTGATGCGGAATGACCAGTTACCTAGGAATAAGGCTAAGGGTCAGGTCTCCGCTCTAAGCAGTTAAGACGAGCACTAGCAATAATCTCACAATCGGCTCTCAGGGTGGACAATAGATTTGTAGGTGACTGACCGCGGAATGATAAGCGTATCAGTGGTTTCGTTATCGATCTCGCGACCGTCGTCGAGCCACTGGAAATGCGGATGTGGAAATGATTTTGCGTGACAGACCAATTTCAATAGATCACTTTTTTGGCCGAATGGTGTTACGATTATTTGTTGAGCACGTGACCAGATGAGTGGTACTGAAATTTGCTTGTTTCAAACGTAGTTGTTTCAGATAATTAGATAACGAGCCGCACCATAGCCTGCTGGCTCAGGCTCACAACATCAATGATATTGGTACACCAGTACCCGATTTCGAGCAAAACTTTCTTCCTCTGAATCGAACGAGAATCGAACCCGCCAAGTACCAATTACCGTTCGGGGCTCTACCTCTGAGCTACCGCGGAGACCGTTCAGTCTCTACCGAGTGGTTGTGTTAAGATCGCGATAAATCAGTTCTTCAGTGCACATAGTGCAAGCAACTGATCTGATGAGCGTTAAACGCTACAATCACAGCGAACTGATCTTGTCCGCGATCACGATAACATAACCAATAATAACAGATAATTGGATAAGAGGTATAAGCCGGATCATAGCCTGCTGGCTCAGACTCACAATACTAATGATATTGGTAGACCAGCACTCGGTTTCGAGCAAAACTTTCCCATCCGCGAACGGGAATCGAACCCGCAACTCCGTTCGCGGATAGGAAAATTTTTCTCGAAACCAAATGGTGTACCGATATCACTAGTACGTGTTTCAATAATGCTAGTGGCGCTTCTGAACGACCGATCTCTGGTTACGGCCGGCCGCGTGAGAGTTAGAGTTAACCCCCCCCCCGGTCATCAGTCATCCAACACACTCACCAAATTTTCGTCGCAGAATCAACTGCGGTATGTCCATGCAGTGGCCGTGAATTTTGGCCAGGTTGTGAAGATGCGTCAAGAAGTCTTTAACGGTTTGTCCACGATTACCCCATAGTCGCAGCAGTGCAGAGCCAGGATTACGATCACGCGAGTATAACTCCAACTCGTTTGCACTGAAATTTGGAGTTGTTCAACTGCGATCGTGTTCTTTCAAAGGAT